AAAAAAAAAAAAAAAAAGGGAAAAATTACTCATTTCGCGCGTTTGCTCCTTCGGTGGCTCTTCGTTCCGCTTCATGCAGTCTGTTCGTCAAGTCCTGGATGACGTGCTCCTTCTCCTCGCACAGCGCATCTAGTTGGCCGGCTCTTAAAATGAATCCATCTTTATATTTTTAATGGAAAAACTGCCTGTCGTACCTTACAGCGGTGGCTCAGAATGCGCACAGTGCAGTTTAGAAAACATCAAAGAACTCATTGTTCTGTTGATTCCTTGCTTTTTCAAATGAGATTCCAAACACTTCAGAGGGGATTCCTGGATTTGTCCCGCGAGTCTTTGTTTTGTATTGAAGAAAACACCTTTCGTTAGCATCAGCCAACCACTGCCTATGCTCGCCGAGGTTCCATTCTGCATCATTCTTTGCCTTCTCCAGATTACCCATGAGGTCACTCTTTCCATTCAGCTCCTTCTGCATCTCTTCCAACTGCGCTTTCAGTGCGCTGCAATGTCTCTCTTATGGTATACGGCAAAAAGCTAAGAAACCTACGCGATACGAGTACCCCAATTGTTTTAAGTTCTACTTTTATACCTAAGATCAGCCACTAACATAAAAAATATTGCAAAAATCAGTACTCGATGTCATCTCGTTTGGCTGCTCCTTCGCTAGCTCGTTGTTCTGCTTCGCGCAGTCTGTTTTCTAGGTCCTGAATCATGCAATCCTTTTCCTGGCACTGCGTACTTAGTTGTTCCGCCCTGAAAATCATGTCTGTGCAATAAGCGAAATATCTAATTTATCTGCCAAGAAGTAATAAATGACTAGCATATTTTGCAAGCAAAGTTCAATCAATAGAACACGGTTGTTGCAAAATTTCTGTTCAGACACGTATCCGAAGTTATTTTGTGCACCTCTCCAGACCTCCTCTCCAGACCTCCTTTACCTCTCCAGACCTCCTTTATGTCTTTTCAGGATTAGTCTTAATTCAAAAGAAAAAGGTCTTTATTAATCTAAATTTTTATTTTGATAATACTCTATAAAACAGAAATGTGCGCGTACTTTTCGTTAGCATCGGCGAGCCATTGCTTGTATTCGCCGAGGTTCCATTCCGCGTCGTTCTTTACCTTCTCCATATTGCCCAGAATGTCATTCTTTCCATCCAGCTCTCTCTGCACCTCTTCTAGTTGCGCTTTCAGTGCACTGTAATGAGTTTTCTGGTACCCATTCAAATAGCGAGGGATATTCAGTTTAGGAGTTCTTTTGCATAAATACCTACACGTTGTCAATTTCTACACTGATGGGCAGCAAAACAGCTATCAGTATTACAGATAAAACAGCCTTACTGGACACTATCTTGCGCGGCTGCTCCTTCCATGGCGCGTTGCTCTGCTTCGCGAAGTCTCTCTTCCAGGTCCTGAATGGCATTCTCTCTGTCCTGGCACAATGTATTTAGTTGTTCCGCTCTGAAATCATTTCTTTCTAATTTATTTTTACAAAATTTTCAATCTGTTTACTCTTATACAATACCAAAAAACGCTTAAATGCTTTCGGATGATAACCATATGAGCATAGTGTCTACGGGTAATGAAATGGCCAACGCAAACTTTTGAAATTCATGATGTCTCGAATATTCAGCATTTTGCTTTGAGAGTAAGAACATCTCTTGTGAAGCACTTATTAGATTACTATCCCGGGTTTAATCTCTTTTTTTGACAATTACCTGTTATTGGCGTCCTGCAACCAGGCTTTATGTTCTCCAAGATTCCACTCCAAATCCTTCTTCTGTTGCTCCAATTCGCCAATATGCCCCTCTCTAGCGTCCGTTTTTTCTTGCATTTCAATCAGTTTCACTTTCATTTCTCTAAAGATATCTCCCTCAGCTATTAGGAGATGCTCTGTACTGTATGAGACAGAACAGCAGCGTAAAGATTCTGGAGTTATCCAATCAACTTTAGCTCGCTCTCCTTAGAAAACAGAAGGTCAGCGTGACAAACTATCTAAATAGCACAGAGCATCTATCACGTGGCTTGGCACCTAAATTCACTGAAACATAAAAGGAAGAAAAAGGAATCATAGAAAAACAGAGTGGACCCAGAAGTGGTAATTTGATTAATTCAAAAACAGCCTGTCCATGTTTCACCATTAAATTGCAATAGGAATAGAATTCGTCAGTACAGTCAGGTCTCGCAGTCTGTGGGGCATTTTTTACAAAGTTAGCAGTTTTGCGAATATATTGAATATTCGGAAACGTAAAGGTCTTAATATTTGTTGGTTTCACGGCCAGTATTCGATTGCTAGTAACATCTATGACATATGAGATTACTCAAAGGCATTTTGCGCATTCGCTCCTTCGGCGGCGCTCTCTTCAGCTTTGTGCAGCCTGTTTTCCAAATCGTTGATAGCATTCTCCTTCTCATGACATAGTGCATCCAGTCGATCTACCCTGAAATTACTTCCTTGCGCTTAACTTCAGAAAAATTTTCCACTAAACGTATTGTATTAGCAGAAAGTCTGCAAACTTCGGCTAACAGCGATCTCATCTGACCGATGCGGTACTGAATCCTTGCTTGCTCAGGCAAAAAACGAAATGATTCAGAAGCAACTTCTAAATTTGTAAAGCGTGTACCTCGCGTTAGCGTCAGCAAGCCACTGCTTGTGCTCGCCAAGATTCCATTCCGCATCATTCTTTGCCTTCTCCAAGTCGCCAAGAAGATCATTCTTTCCATCCAGTTCCTTTAGCACCTCTTCCAGCTGCGCTTTCAGTGCACTGTAATTATCCTTCTGAGACACATCAAAGAATAAGGCACACTAACGCTCTGTTAAACAAATTTCAGTTGCATCTTCCGCAGTGAAAGACCAATAATTGATAGCACAGATAATACAGCATTACTCCTCATTATCTCGTGCAGTTGCTCCTTCGATAGCGCGTTGTTCCAAGTTGCGAAGTTTGTCTTCCAGGTCTCGGATGGTATTTTCCCTTTCTTCGCACAGAGTACGCAGTTGTCCGGCCCTGAAATTGTATTACCGCCGTGTTATTTGCAGAAATATCGCATTAAGTGGCCTAAATCGAAGTTAGCTATGAGAAATGAAACAGCCGAATTGTCGCAAAAGTCGCGCAATAAGCTAACAAAAACTAGCAGTTTGCTGAAAGTGACAGCAGCATTAATCACTAGAGCGAAACGAGTTACAGACGAGGAGGCAGGACAGAGGTGGGTTAGCGCGGCTGAGTGGTAAAACCGAAGCGCGCTAACATGGAGATTTGGGGTATGTTACTTGGAATCTGATTTTTTAGCGCATGATCGCCAGCTGCGGTATACAGTAAAGCAGCTGATAGTGTAGCAGATAGCGCACTGCGTTCGAATATCGGGAGGAGTGGTTCAATTCCTTTCTGGTCAACAAGGATTTTTGGAAAAGAATTCTGTCTACAGTATAAGTGCCATGGTAGTTCCTGCTGTCCTGGAGGAGAATCAGATTGTTTTAGAAAGAGTTCATGAAGATTCTTTCATGTATTTGGCGCAAGTTTCATAAAGTGTACCTTTCGTTAGCATCCGCAAGCCACTGTTTGTGCTCGCTGAGGTCCCATTCCGCGTCGTTCTTCGCCTTCTCCAAAGCACCTATTAGGTCATTTTTGCCATCCAGCTCGTTTTGCGCCTCTTCCAGCTGCGCTTTAAGTGCGCTGCAACGATTTACCCATTAAAGAGCGAAAGTGAGGGATGTCCAGTGCGTCTAAAACCTCAGCGTCGCACAAATGTCTCCCGGTTAAACCACCCTCATCAATCATGATTTGGATCAACTACGCCACAAATAATACGCAAAGAATTACTCGATTTCATCTTGCTTGGGAGTTCCTTCGGTGGTGCGTGATTCTATCTCGCGGAGTTTGTCCTCCAGATCCTGGATAACATGCTGCCTCTCCTGGCTCAAAGTATCCAGTTGCTCTGCTCTGAAATCATGTTCTTAGTTTCAAACAAAGTCATACATGTCAAAAAGTCCTACACATTTGTCAAGCAGAAGTCAATCAACAGAATACGGTAGTTGCTAGCTTTGTTTTTTAGAACATGTTTTGTAGTTCCATGCTGTATTTACAAATTCAGCACTTTTTTTCTAGGCTCCTCCTCACTGTTTTATTAATATTAAGGTCGCCCAGGCATAATTATGAGTGTTCCATGTTAGTAAGGTTATTGGGATGCTCCTACCACCTCTAGTTGGTACCCACTGCAACTTCGATGTGCTTCATTTCTTCGTGGACCTTACAAGTGGATATTTTCTTTTGTGCGAGTACCGTATACCCTTTCTTTAAACAGGAAAAAAATTTCTGCTACTACCACAAGTATTCTGCTGATGCTGTGGCGAAAAACGAGAACTACCTTTCGTTAGCATCAGACAGCCACTGTTTGTGCTCACCAAGGCTCCATTCTGCATCGTTTTTCTCCTTCTCCAAATTGGACAGGGTGTCATTTTTGGCACTCAGCTCCTTCTTCAGCTCTTCCACTTCCGCTCTCAATGCTCTGCAAGTGATTCTTCTGTAACATGGGATCGAGGATTATTCAGCTTAAGCTAAGCAAAATTGGCCTAGAAAATTCCCTTTATCATTTTAACTTCCAACTTTCAGTTTGGAATACTTTGAGCTCTGCAAAATTCCACGTCCACTTACGGATTATCCCATTTATATCAACTAGAAAGAATGGTAACAAAGATGTAAGGATAACAAAGGTACCCCTAACCAAACAAGCTTCTCACGAGCCATCATAAAAAGTAAATTTACTTATTGCTCTATGCCGAATGAAATGTTTTTTCTACAAGTTTTCAACCATCTTTTCCGAGCAAATATTTGCAAGCACTGGAAGAATTTTATATTATCCTCACTTTCATTTTACTCTGATAATGCCTCTCGTTCGTGGAAATCTAGCACCCAGCTATTACAATTCTAAAGTAATAATTATCCTTGTAGTTGATATAAATGAGGTAATAAACTTGCTTTATCTCGTTCTCTGTCGGTAGTGCTGGAGTTGCTTCCTCGACATCCCACTGTTGTGCTTTCAACTGCTCCACCGGCTCCTGACAAAATTCCCCATTTGCAGGAAAAACAGAAGAAACCTCGCAAGTGGTTTACAATTTGAGGAAGACGAAAGGGATGGAAAGGAGAGAGAATGTGTGTGGGTATTTCTGGTCTATGACAGGTATTTTAAGAAAACTCTCGAGACGAGAACGTTTGGTACCACAGCATTTTCCGATAGACTAATGCAAAAACAAAACTATCCACATTTTTTCTTTGAGTCACCATAACCAGCTGCTTCAGACTAGCAACTGAAAATTTGTTTGTAAATGCACTACTTCCGTTGGTATAGAAACTTTGTAGTAGGAACCTGCTTCTGAGTTTCCTTCTCGTT